ATTACTGGCGCCACTGTAGCACCACTTTCGCAGCACGCACGCGCGGCATGCGCACACGTTCAATGCGCAACCGTTCCCGCGACGCAGCGAGGTTTAATCGGGCGCTGACTGCGCGACTGGTAACATCTTGCATCATTTGCTGCGACGTATACAATCTGCCTTTTACGAAACTTTCTTTTCTTATTATTTGTTTCGGGTCTTGTGAAAAAGTGTAATAAATACGTTGAATATTACCTTATAGTATGATCAGTTATATAGAGTGTCTTGTTTAAAATGGTCCGCTTATGTAATTATCCTCTACGATTGTGACAAATATTTCGCTGTTAACGTTTTATGATTCATCTCAAGTCTGAAAAGTAATAAGCAGTTAAGTCTGAAAAGTTATAAGTAGATTCTTCGAGCGGTATAATTATATTGAAATAAAATGCGATAGTGATAAAAAGAATTTTCTACATATAGACATACGAGATATTGAAATTTTAAAAAACGTCTTTTGATCTTCTTTTACATACAAATGCATCAATGTTTATTCTGTGCAATAATTGTCATTAATAAACATTTATGTGTGTGAAATAATATGGCAAAGTGATCCTGACGAAAAAATAATTTTTTAGTAAAAAACATTTTGTTATTATAGTAATATTTAATACAACAGTCTGACAAGTTGAGGCTTTTCAGTTATTTAATGCGATAATAAATACGTTTATTTACATTCGCAAATATTTGTCCTTGAAATATAAAATTTCAGAGAAGATAAGAATCATACTTCTCTCGAAATTTTATAACCATTTTATGATCATATTATTACAAACTACAATATGCGACGTGTTAAGTCTAACACTGAAAAAACAATTTACGCTATCGTATATGCATTTTTAATGCATTTTAATGCACAAAGGAACATTTTTTTAATGAGTCATTCGATATAGTTACAGTATTCGTGATAACGAATAATTGCAGTTGATTATACTTTCGTTTACCTCGAAGAGGTCAAAATATTTAAATGTAATTTGCAATGCAAAGCTATTAAAACATTTCAATTATATGTAATTTTACGTTCATAACTTTTCGGATAAAAAACCGAATAGTAGTCTATGTGAAAAGTCTACGACAAACGAAAATGGATATGTATATTTTTTTTTTTAACAAAAAAAGTAAAATGTATACTTTCTTATATACATGTGCATATTGTTAACCTCATAACATACTTTATTGCAACATAAATTTCTAACAAAACAGGATTAACTGAATTTTAGCAAGATAATTAGTAAAATTAACCTCAATTAGGCAAAATTTTTAAAATGCTATTTATTAAATTCATAAAATATTTCAACATTATTTAAGAAACCTGCTGAACCTGATTCATGTCTATCTCTATAAATCCATTTTTAATACCTTTTTACTCTATTTTTTGAAAATAAATATGTAAACAAATTATACCACATATCTTAAACAAACACTAGCATGTATTTAAACCTTTTATCGATTTTGTAGTTTCGGAATTATTTAAATAATTGCAACAATATTTCACTATGGAAAAAGTATGTAGCCAACTAATTATCTCTATATTAATAATAATATATTGTTATAAAAAATATTTTAAATAAACAATACCTTTACGTACCAAAATCAACCAACCTATGAAGTGCTTCCCTCTGTTGTGGAGAAATTGTAACTAAGTATTATAGATTAAACATAGCATGCACATATATATGCATATAAAAACTGTTTATTACTCGAATAATTTAGAAATATTACTTGACGTCATTCTATACTAAATTATAATCAAATCGTAATAAAAAAAGAAGAAAAAAAACAAAATATATATTACCGACAGAAACTTGAAAATTATTGTTTCGGCAAATGATAATCATCAAAATCTATGAAAATTGGCAGACACAATGACGTTATAAAATCGTAACAAAAAACAGATTAAATCTGACATGCAACGTTTTTTAATAGTTTACGATTTAAGGAATCAGACAATCCCTTTACCATTCTCATGTCACATGCGATGTTGTCGATTTAGTACAGGAGTACAACATTAGTAGCGGTTGGAATCAAAATCTAACGTAGTTATGGAATTATAGATTATTTTTATTCTGGACGAAATATAGAATTTTGTCTCTATAAACGATAAAGTAGAATCCCAGTAAAATTTCTAAATTATTACATATTGAGATATTTGTAATATATAGATTCTTTTGTCTTCGAGAAAATTTTTACTTTAGAGTCAGCGTTATTTTTTATACATACCATCACTTTTGATCGGCATCCACTGGTCAGACTGATTTTTGGCTACTATATAGCTATTCTTGTCAATAAATATCATTTCAAATGTTTTTACTTAGTTCTAAGATGAAAACTAATACCATAAAAGTATAAACGAAATTCTAACCTGTAAAAATATATATATAAATAATAATATTTGTTTTTATAATAAATTGTTGAAAGTGTAAACATTGTATAAAAATCGAAAAATTACTAAATTATTGATCCGCATAATGGAAGAATCATTTTTGATAACATCGACAAAGATGGTGAATTTTCACTAAACCACTCGCGCAAGCATCGCCTCCCATATGAATCGTCGCGCGCGTTCTTTTCTACTTCAACACGCAAGTTTTCGCGCGCGAATATTTCTATTTGAATATTAGTAACATATGAACATATTGAGAAAAAAGTTTTACTTAATTATTTTTGTAGCACTCCCAAATATTATTTGATATTTTTTATAATTTATTTACAACTAATTTTATAATATTTGTAAATATGTATAGCTTCCTAATGCCGATTAATATCACGAGAAGAAAAAATTAAACAGAAGATTTAAAGTATTGAGCAGTATATTAAATAATTCAAATCTTTTTTAGACTTGAAAAATACATAAATTTACAGATGTGTAGTGACATTTCTTCACTCACTCAATATCTTATCTATTATCATTCGATATATTTATATATTTATGAAGTTGTAATAGCAAATCATAGGTTTAAAATATACTGTACTATATAATATACTATAAAGAGCATTATATACATACTTTATACAATATTTGTTACTATCAGTGATTATTGCATATTAATTTATGCGATTATAAAAATAATATGGAATACACTTTCGATCAAATATGACAAAAATTTGATTCTTCCTTAAAAGAAAAAATCTTATATATATTTGAAAATATAATACTTGTGTTGAAAACGTTTCGGTATATATTAATCTTAAATCAACTACACAGACTATTATTTTAAAAATAAATATGTAATATCTATTACTATTAGACATGTGCAAATGTTTTATATTATATTTGCATGTGCAAATTAAATCTAATAATTTTGAACACAATTTTTAATTAGTATATTTTTATATCAATTAAATAGATGACAATAACCATTGACACTTGTTATTAGTCCTATTCTCAGCATTTAAAAAATTAATAAAATTATATTTATCTAAAACATCCACAGTCTTTTACAAAATTATAACTACGCGAATCATATAGATTTTCTTTAAGCTACATAGTAATTAGATATGGTAATATTATGTAATTAGATTTATGAATTTCATTGAATTCAATTTGTTTTCCACCAATTTTACTACTCTTATATAGTTAAAATATTAATTTCCCAATAAATGATAAATTCATACAAAAGAGTATGGTTAAAAAGCTGCATTACAATAAACCTTTTTTTCGCACATGTGTACCATTTAGGTTTGCATTATTACTTTAATTGTAATTGAACAACTGAAGAAAAATCAGGTCGATTTCATCCAACTATGCTGTTAAAATGAATTATGATCTATATATTTTGGTATTTCAAAGTACATATTTTATATTTATCTCATACTACACGTGTCTAATATTAATAAATAATATAATATAAATAACTTTCACTATTATCTTATACATTACATTTTTCATTCATACTTTTACCGCTGATCAATAACAATTTTGAAATATGCTTATACGTTTTCCAATGATCCATTTTGTTGTCATATACATTCGCTCATTTTTCAGATACTGCCGTGAAATATATGTATAAATTAATACGATGATGCATTTATTTTACAAACTCATGATATAGGAACACAAGCAGCAAATGTGTTGAAATATATAATTATATTTTGTGGATCACATCATTGTGGATCTATTGTATATATCTATTGTGTACACTCATGTGCATGATGATAAGAGAATAGAGGATAAACATAACTGTCTAACTTACATATCAACACATCTTAGTCAACTAAAATACATCTCTGTAATACCTTTCCATATTGATTCAGATGGAACTAAAAATGGAAGTGTACATAATTTATAACGTTTAAATATTTTTGCTGTGTTACATTTACATGGATGAAGAGTTTGTGAAAATAAGAAATTTTCAAAGATAAGCTTCATCAGAAAAATATTATCAATAAAAATCATAGATAGCATATGTCTTTTACTTTCTAACATCTAAGATCACAAATTTCTAGAATCACGAATATTCATTGTTAACGTTAAATAATAACAATATACATTTATTTGACAAAAATATACATTTTCTGAAAATATAGTAACGTAGTATTTCCATCAAATATAAAGTTTATAATAACAATTTTGTATCATACCTTCAAATTACGTATTATGGCCAATTTTGAGATGCCTTTTTGATATTTTTCAATTAATGTTTATGATAATTAATTATCAAACAAAAAACTGCGTATTCTTAATATTAATATTATTAAATTAATATTAATAAATATTATTAAATTAAGAAGTTAGAATCAGTACTTATGTGATCCAAGTCTGGTAAAAAGAAGAGGTTCTATTAACCATATTGTATAAGATTAAAAAGAGCATCGACATTTTCCTTCTCAGACTCTTGTTGCACAACCTGCGTAACGTTTTGCGTTAACAAAACTTGCTCTATTAAAACGGTCTCTGTATCAGGATGTTCCGAAACTGTAACATCTTCTTCTTTAATTGCTCCTTCCTGTTCATTGTTCGATTTGATCACGTTTTTTCTTCGTTTCGTTCTCGGTCTATCCGTGTGTATCCTCATATGTCGTCGTAAATCATATTTGCCCACGAAACGAGCACTACAAATTTCACATCCGAATGGTTTTCCACCAGTATGAGTCCACATGTGGCGTCTCAACGCGGCACTAAAAGTAAACGCTATTCCGCAAACATTACAAACATATGGTTTTTCCCCAGTGTGTAGAAGACTATGATCTCTCAGAGTGGCCCTTTGGTTGAATCGCTTTCCGCAAACCTCGCACGTGTAGCTTCGCGGGTTTGAGTGGATTCTTACATGATTCAACAAATTTCCTTGTTGAGAGAACGATCGTCCACATATCTCGCATTTGAACGGTTTTTCACCTGTGTGAACGCGCATATGTGTCTCTAAAGTGCGATTATTTAGAAATCTTTTTCCACAAACTTTACAAGGGTACTTGGGTAAGTGAAGACCTTGCGGATCCAAGTGTGTAATCAAGTGCCGCTTATAATTACCTTTATGATTGAAGAGTCGTGGACATTGACTACAGGAGTAAGGCGCACCGCGTATGTGTGTCGTAATGTGAGTTTCTAACTCTGATTTAACCTTGAATCTGAGGCCACATTTTGGGCAACGATGCCTATGAAATTCCGTATGACACACCATATGTCTCTTTAAATACCTCTTCATCGTGTAAGCTTTGTTGCATATGAAACAGGAATAAGGGAACTGGCCTCTATGCGTTTTAACATGCGCACGCAATTCTCTATGACTCTGGCAGTCTTTCTCGCATACCACGCAAAAGAATGGACCGCTACTCGGCACATGATTGTCTATAGTATGCAACAAGACACCAGTCAGCTTATCGTAATTTTGCAAACATAGAGTGCACTGATACTGTATCACATCGTCTTCGAGTTTTATCTCCTTTATTCTCGTTATTGTATCATTCAAGCTACCTAATATATTATCTTTCGGGTCGACAAAATAATCAGAGTCAGAGTCGTCGCTCTCTTCTGGCTGTTGATTCGATTCCGGAGAATGTTTTTGTATGTTTTTCTCGTTTAGTCTTTCCATCGATTTTTCTTCCGGAATGGTAGGTTTCCAAGCCACCTCAGCGTTGCTGATTTTATTATCTTCCCCCCTTGATTCCACAATCTTCTCGTTGCACACGGCATCTAAAAATTCTTCGTTATCCACAGTTTCGTGTAGGAGCTCCCCATTACAGTCAGCCTCGGTAATCTTTTTGCTATCTTCTAATTTAATCACAGTATCGCAAGAAAGCGTATTCTGCGTATTCACATGCTCTACGTGCTCTAAAGAAACATCTTCCGGTATATACATTATGGTATAATCTAGCTGCTGGGATTCCAAAATTTTCGAAATTTCATCAGGTATCTCGTTCTTCAGCCGTTTGTCTTGATCGATCTCTGCTCCTGACAGCTTCGAAATGATAATACCTTTTAATCCAGATATGCTAGCCTTGTTAAATTCGCCATTTTCTTCTACCAGTTCGGACACGTCGAACGCTTGCTCTAACGCTTGCTCTCCTTTGTCGTTTATAGTAATTCGCTCGGACAAAAATTCTTCCGAACTATCCACATCAATGGTAGGCTTAATATCTTCTTTGTTATCTAATAGTTTAATTTCTAACAATTCGTCTGATTGTTCTGAACAGTCTTGTTCAAAATCATTGCCCATTGCCTCCTCCTGAAAGGCAATACCAACAAGTTGGGAACGATGTTAATGCTTCCACATTACGTGCAATTACATGCTATGACGAAGTTAACGAAATTAAGAAAATGCAAGCATATAGCTGAGATTGGATCGATACAAGGAAGGTAACCTTTAGGGGAAGATAATATAATAAGAACAATCAAATAAAATAAAAATTATTCTTCACTCTTTGAATACTGGTTGCTTAAATACGAGCGTATCGTACTATTATCATCCCGAAAGATTTTATTCTCTTACTATTTATATACTAATATCTTTGTATTCGATACATCCTTGTACAAATGATTTCTAAGGCTACTTTTTCAATATATAACTGATTTATTCGTAATAAAATATACAACTGCAAAGCTCTTTTTACATGATTAAATTATAATTGGAGCGAAACGGTAAGCTTGTTACTAAATATTAATTAGTATACGCAACAAATAAATTTCGTTCCATATCACCGGTATATTTTGTACGTAGTAACAAAAGAAACAAGTATAAAATATTGTTTAAAAATATAAAAGTTGGACACGAATTTTTGATAACGAATTGTAGAATTATGAAACATATCAAATTTTGTACTTAGTATACACCTGCATTAATTTTAATGTTAAATGATTAATCAAATTAATTTAATTAATGCATTTTAATAATAACCTTTCAACTGCCTTAGCTTCTTAAAACATCATTATTTTCAATATAAGTCACTGATCACTATAATTTATTCAGTACTACTTTATACATATATTTGCAAGCAAATAGAAATTAAGTAAATGTAATTACATGTCTGCAAATAAATAAAATTCATTAACATTCAATATTAACATATACCTATATTAACGTCATGTGTTTACATTTTCTTTTATTTACACTAGACATCTATGAAAATTAACTATTTACTGAGAATCAACAAGGTAATAGAATTAAAATCGAAAAATTAGTAATGTCAATCAGTTATGTCGACATTACATAACATACATAATTTGTATGTATTATGCAACTAGAACTTATAACTCCAATATTAATGAACTAACAGTATTTAGGTTAAAAAGTATAACATATGAAGATCAAAAACATGTTTTTGCATTTACAAAACTTTTTAACATAAGAAAATCACTACATTGTAAAATAATGTAATCTTAATTATATAATTACAAAGGCCAGGTATCTTACCTTTATGTTATAGCGAATTTGTGTTTCAAACATTTTGCGGAGTTTCCTTTCAGTAGCTTGAACTTGCAACTTGAAATCATAAAATGCATCTGTGCGATAAGCACACTTTGCGCAAAGCATATTTGGTAACCCATCGAACCTGTCAATCTATTTAAAAAAAGTAAACTATATTAACCAAGTTAGCTGATATGTATAATATAACTTATACAATATAGTTAATACGAAACAAGTTTCCTATTTAACATTTCTTGTATTATATCTCATTAGTCAATCTAATAATATGAAATCTAATACAAGAAAAAGTAACTCACATTTTACTTTGAAATTCTATTTATATTCATAATACATTCATTGTATTCATAATACAATTAACCAACAAATTAGTATATAATGTTATTATAACTATCTTTTTTGTAACTTTAATCCTACATGTAAAACTTTACTGTAATACTTTATATAACATAACATAAATTAATCTTGTTCGACTTGTTTATTTCTAAAAATTTAGATTACAATGGAATAAATGTCATTCAATTGAATTTAATTACAAAGTTTATTTTTTCCATTTAAACATCTGTATCTTGTTATCGCAAAATAAATAGCAGGTATATCTAATAAATGAATATTTGATGACACCATTTTAAGGTTATGTTACAAAATTACAAATTTATGCACGATTAACTATAATAAAAGAGTGACTGACTACTTAACAAAGCAAGAAACAGAAAATATATTAACCAAATGATATTTTATAACTAACCTCTATCGATGCAAGCTCTGCAAGTTTATTAGGCAAATTTTTTTGACTAATCGTGTCATCATCGTACATAGGAAGAAGAACGCCGTCAACTTTCATGCACGCTCGACACATGTCGGCACAGCTAATTTCCCAATTCATCGTTACCTTCGATATCCTAACACTAGTAAAATAAGATTTTCACAACGTTCGTGCTCACTTAGAAATAAATGCATTTCACATTTCCTGGTTAGCGTCTTGTTTCCTATGGGACATCACCGTCAGTCAACATAAAGTTCAGTCATTAACTATAGATAGAGCTTATAGTTCACGCGTATGCTGAAGCGACATCTGACGCGTATCATTTTAGATATAAACGTACAATAAATTAGAGGAGAGTAATTTGTATCGATTAATTAATTTTGATGATTTCCATTTCATGTAAGTGCTATGTACATTTTTTTTTTACAAACAGAACATAAATTTAAAGCAAGCATGATACTTTACGAGTGAATGCAGTTACACATATATGCAGTTTGTTTTTAAAGAAATACTTATTTTGAATTTCAACTTCGTCAAGAGAAATTATAATATTTTGAAAGGTATTTGAATAGATATTCTTATTAGAAAATGATTTTAAATGTTGACATTTTTATATTGCAGTCGATGTTATTTCCTTTTTAATTAAATATTTATTATCGAATGAATCGAAGAAATATGTATAGATGGAATAATTCATATGTGTATTTTCCTGGACAATGTAGTGGACTGAAGTTTACAGCAGAAAGTCGGACATTCAAAAATTGTAGCAACAATTGTCTGGTATTTTACTTTTATTTTATTATTTTATAATATTATTATGGATAAAAATGTGACAGATAATACATAATATATTTACGATACAGTATATCTATGAAAGGAAGGATTTACGATATAAACATTTCGCTTTTTCACGATGACGACCCTAAACTACATAAATATTAATTGTGTGGATTGAGGATACATAACCGTTAAGTATTAAGTTATTGTATATTTCTCTATGTTTTTGATCACGATATTCAAAAAATTGATTTTTTATAGAGTATTTAACAAAAGTAGTAAAATATAATTTGTTGAGTGTACTATTATAGCCGTAAAGGTTAGCACAGAAAAATATAGAGTGATAGAATAGTATATACATAGATTTCAATTTTGAAATGAAATTCATTATTATATATACATATGTGTACACACTATCGTTTAAGTAACAAACGCTTATTTAAAACAATATGCGAACATATATAACTTTGATCATTGTTATCGGAAAATGTTAAAAGAGCAAGTTATAATGCAATTATGTCATAAAATAAAATCTTTTACTAGTACTCTCGATCTGTATAAAGGGAAGTTAGCTTGGTCAGGTTAAAGGCCAGTACTTATCACGACATTTCGAGAATCGAGGCTATTAGTTGCCCCGGGGATAAAGATGACAAGGTGTTCTTGAGTCACGTAGATAGTAACATAAATAGTTAAGGTCACTTGTATGCAACGCGTTATTAAAAAAGAAAAAGAAAGGAAAATTGTCTTCCGTGAACTTTCTGCACATATGCGTGTACGTTTCTTAGTACGCAGATATACGATTTTATGCAGATATCCATTCACATATAAAACTGGTATTTATAAAATAAAAAGCATTAATTGCGTACATTATTATATATTATACAATGAATTGATTCATTCATTTGTGAAATTGATGGAACCTGAGTCTTTTATACACCGAGTTCATCGAATTTCACTTCTGAATATTTTCAAAACGGATTTTATTTTTTTATTTAGAAATTGACCGCATAATATAGTAAAAATACGAATAAGTATCCTAAACTTTTCTTTTCTCTTTTCGAAGCTTGGAACACTACAAAAATCAGGCATCACGGTTTAATTCTTATGAAAAATTATTTAAATTACTAAAATTTGGGAAGAGATACGAAGGATCAGAGAAATAAGAGCTGAATAATGATATTAGGATATAAGTACCTATAAATATGAAGCGCTGTGATAATGTAGGAAAGGCAAACAATAAGGTGCGAAGTACGAATATAGGATCTCCCTAACACTGATGGTATGCTGAAGTACGAATCTCCACCTAAATTCAAGATAGCGAAGTGCCCTTAATGACATCAGATATTGCAGTACATTGGTGTTTAAATGGCAGCTAAATTATTGACAAAAACATTTATTTGTCGCCTTGAGAACTTTGACAATTTTCGGATAACTTTCTGTTGAAACAAGTATCGTTAATTAACAAAGTCGTGCTGCTGATATCTGCGGTTTTCTAATGAGACTTACCTTTGGATCTTGTGTACCGAATATAATACGAGGAATTTTTGCCTGAGAAATTCTTCTACATGCTTCTTATTCATTCGATACTTTCTATTTTCCGAGAACTATTATATTTTTCTTACATCAGATAAGAGAAGAAAGGGTAGAGAATTTTCAATGGAATCGCAATTCTCCGTAGAAAACAATTTTCTTCTATTTTATTTTAAGAACTTTAATCAAAACGAGGCTACGCGGTAGTTCATTTATTAAGAACAATGTATTATTTATGATAGTTTATAGAATATTTTTGTTCATTTAAAACTTGAAGATATTTCATGATTTGCTAATATGTAATAACAAATTTAAATCATAGTAAGATTTCATAAGAACATTCGTGTACTAATTTTGAAAGTTAGTACGAATTACAAAATGAAATTATACCTACTTCAGATAACTTAATTACCGACAAAAAGATATGAAATGCTCATCCTTGATGGCGAGGACGATTCGAAAGACTAACTTTTAATAGCTGACAGAGTTATATTTTCAGATATTATAAGACTATTTAGGAATTGTGACGGACTACGAAAAATAAAACTTTAAATTTACTAAATAAATAGACGCCTAAATGAGTTACGACATTTATTAACATTATTAAAAAGACAGATGTGTGCAAGTTCTAATTAGCTTCGTTAATTACTCGAGTAATATTACAAAATGTAGCTGAAGCTAGAATATTTGCTACTTTCATATTTATCGCGTAATCGTTCTATCATATTTTAGATTAAACTTATCCTGAACGAAAAATGTTTCTTTTTCTTTCAAAAGAAAGAAGTTGGAAGCTTCAAGTGGTAATTTTTATATTCTTTAAAAAAAGTTATATTCATAATCAAGAGAAAAAAAATGATTTCAAGCTCCATTTTTCTGTCTTTATCTGAAAATATTTTTTTAGGAAAAACCGTCTTCTAAATTTGAAGATGAAAAATCGGTAGTAGTTAATCCATCGAAGATCATAAGATTCAAGGGAAGCAGAACATTACCCGGTGAAAGAATTTGTACAGTCGATCATCAATCTTCTACACAATTGCCAACATTTACAGTATTCTTCTACTGCAGCATGAATGCCCACTTCATTTTATACTTTGTTGGAAAATGGTATATGCTTAGTATTATATAGCGTGATTATAACTAAGTAAATGTTAATAATTATGCCTCTCACGTATTCAACATTCATAATAATTATTTTTTAAGTCGAGGTGAACAGCGGCAGCATTAATCTTATTTTATATACTTCATACTTCTAATTAAAAGTGATGTTGCGTTTTTCATATCGATTATCTGTCTCATATATGGTATGCAATATGAACATTTATTTGTAAATTTATTGGTTTCCGTTACTCGTAAATTTCGTCCTCTGTATGAAAAGATTTTAGTCTTCCTTTCTACGTAATGTAATAAATTAAGGCAAAAATAACTCTCAACTGAATTGATAAATAATGCATTAAGTTACTAATATTTATTGGTTCACAGCTTTTGTACAAATTCATATTTTTATGAACTCGGTTCACGAAATAGAAACTAAGTGATGATTCAGTGTATCTATTAAAGATTAAAACGGATGCAGTACTTTCTGTACTTTATATATTTTTGCATAATCTGTAGATTTTTGCATCTTTAAATTTTGCGTAAACACATCATAAATTGTACAATATCAGAAAACTTGGAATTCATATACTGATTCGATCAACGTTTGAAACTTTAATTTTGTATTACAACGACATATGTTTAAAAAGGTCGTCGAAGGTAGTTGGAAATTTTACTTTTGTACGATTTACGGCATAAATTCATTCTGTATGTAGGTACAAGGAACGCCTGTAAACCATGAGCAATTCAGATGATCAGGAATGACTAATAACGGATGTCATAAGATCGATAGTTTGGAAAATGTGCGAAGGAGTTTATAAATGGCAAGTAAGCTGATGTTGCGTTACTTTGAAAAATGGGAAACATTGTTCCTAGAGGGTCTGTCACAGAATAGAGAAGACAGAAGTACGTTCTACTGATTCTGAGATGACTGTGAGTAACAACGTAGCACTTAACCAAAACCCTGAAATGGATTGCTTTACTAACTTAACCACCGATTCCATAAAAAGCTATTTTTTACATTTTTAGCATATGTGACGTATGTGATCAAATCTTTTTGTTAAAGAGACTTTTGTAATCTGACTCGAGGATTTTACCTTCTCAAATCAGATTAGAAAAGAAACAATTTTTTATTCCAAAAGACAAATTAGTTGTTTATATAATTTTATTATATATATATATATATATAAACTACAAGAAGGAATATTTAGAATGTCATCGAGCGTCAGAATTTAGAAACTTGATCGTTCGAGAGCAACTCCTTGTTTATTTTAATTAAAAGCAAACAACAACGGGGAAAGTATAAACGTATGGCGTCAACAAGCAAGATACAGAGAATTGCGCGTATGTGTCGATATTTGTTGATTTATTTTTGAGGGCAGAAGATCCGTACGAACAAAAGCAGTGTTCGTTAACTTTCATATTGTCCTTACTTATTACCATTCTTAATTGGATACTGTTTAATCCTATATGCCTCGATATTCATTCCTTGAAAGCATTCTAAATAGCATCTGATAACAAATTCATCTGATATAAAATATTCAATATTGAAAGAACATGTATTGTTAAAATATTCGCTATTAAAAGAAAGCTAAGAGCTACGGTCGTGTTTACGTTAAAAAGTATTTACGTTCATCTAACGTTTGTTAAAAAGACAAAAGACGAGTGCTTTCTAGATTCCTTTCAACGCTGAATTACTCAAATTAATAATCGCTTGATACTAACGATAAGTGAAATCCGCAAGTAGGCTATCTCGATATCATATTCAAAATGGAAAAGAAAATCGAATTTCTCTATTCTCTCTCGTAGCAGTTGCTATGCTTTTAATTCTACGTTCCATCTCCTTCGTACGAATGATCATTTTCGAATCTTTTTCGAG